GAAGAGAGAGAGAGAGAGAGAGAGAGAGAGAGAGAGAGAGAGAGAGAGAGAGAGAGAGAGAGAGAGAGAGAGAGAGACCGCTGCCGCCGATAATCTTTATGACACGTTGACGGGAGTCTATGAGGATAACAAGTCGAGTTACTACGTACTTTGCGACTGGCTGAAAGAGATGTATTAGGGATGATGGCGACTCCTGCTAAGTGATCCAACTCTCACTCTTGTTTTAGGCCCATGTGTGTTACTGCTCTCTGCGATACGCGACTGCTTGCAATCGCCCGGCAGTATGCGTCTCTGGTTTGTGGCATGATTTGTTCTTTTTCCCAAGAAGCAGATGGGCGGCTGCATAAATCAATTTCTTGAAGACCTTGCTACGCCACTGACGTTCTTATGAGAACGTGGTGACGTCAGATCTGGTTGTAGGGCCTGATAGTTGAATTAGCGGTTGATTCTGTGCTTGTGGTCCCATGTTATGCGTTGAATGCATATCGGGGTAAAGAGAGAGAGAGAGAGAGAGAGAGAGAGAGAGAGAGGGCATGTTTTTTGTTAACGAAGGAGATAGCAAAAAATGTGTGTGTGAGAGAGCAAGTGAGAGAGAGTGAGAGGGAGAGCGAAAACGAGGGGGAGGGAGAGAGAGAGAGAGGGTTTGGGGTGGTTAACCGTGGACCGAGTGCAGCATTCGCACTTATCGCGGGCTCGGCTCCTTGCGCGGTCGCTACCGTCTGTTGATTTTATTTGTATCCACTTCGTTTTCAGGTGGGATCGTGGGCCTGTGACGAGCTGGGGCGGTTGCCAGCAACGGTGTGTACTGTGTCGCACTCTTAAAAGGCAGGTAGGGCGGCGCGGCGACGAAGTGCGCTGGAGCTTTGGGCTGGTGCTATTGGCGGAACGCGAATCCTATTTGACCTCCTATATCGTGACCCCATTGGTGACTCCTTCGGGTCGAAACTGTTGTTCGGTTGCAGCGCGACCATTGAATCGGTCTCCAGATAATCCGGTAATCGTTCTATCTATTTCGCGGTCTGTAAGGGTGGAGGGGAAAGCCTTAGGCCACACTGGCACTAGCACTTTTCCTAAATGCATCTGATTCCAATTACAGTCCAACCTGGATGCATCTGACAGCAAGCACGTCTAGATTCCAGACGGAGAAGGCCTAGTGTGAGTATGCACTGACTGGGAATGACAAGTCAACGGAGTTGTTGTCCCGACTGCCGTCTTCACTCGAACAAAACAGAACAGAACACGCCCAGTCATTACATTCGTATCTGGTGCATCTTTCAGTCCAGATTCGGCGATAATGACCGGGCGTTCTATTCGGGTGAAGACGGTGGCTGGCGATCAAATCCGTCGTGGAGATTCACTTCCGTCGACATGAAAGGGTTGGGTTGGGGGTATAGTCCGCTTGTTGGGCCATCGGCTAAAGCTGGACTGAGGTGCTCAATGCCACTGCAAATCCAGTTTCATGTTCCGTCTAGTGGTGCTCTAGACCACTAGAATCTTCCAGCGTCTTTTCCATTCACGGAGGGTCCTCTTGAATTTGGAACTACGAGTAATTGTGCCTGAAACATCAATAATTGTAATGGTCGTAATGACGGTGACTGCCGCTTACTCTCACCCGCTGTACAGGCCTTGTGATATTAGGGCGCTCGTGGTGTTATTGCGCTCCTTCTGTCTGACCTATTTGGGCCGAGAGGACTGCATTTGTTCTCGACCTCCAGTCCTATCTATTTTCCCTTTCTGCGTGTCCAGAACGACGATATTAGACCCCAGTGGTAAGGCTTTGCAGGGCTTTGTTCTCGGTCCGTACAAGAGGGGGGAGAAAAGAGAGAGAGAGAGAGAGAGAGAGAGAGAGAGAGAGAGAGAGAGAGAGAGAGAGAGAGAGAGAGAGAGAGAGAGAGAGAGCCTCCGAGAATAAGCTTACGGCGATTTGTTTCCCGTGTACGAAATATGAGCGTTGTTTTTTAAACGTATCTCGTAGGTTAAGCATTCTGCCATGTCGAGTATTCGCGTAAACTCTCCAGAATGCGTCCAGTGGTCATTGTTCCTCGCTAGGGTTGTTCGTAGTTGCTGGATGAGTGCTAATAAGCACATGCCTTTTTGAGTGGAAAGCAAGGCGAGAAACGATTAGCGAGGCATGGAAAGGGGCGGCTTTGTGGGAGTCAGAGTTTCATCATTTCTCTCTTGTATCTGCTGGCAGCGTCTCGGTTGCCTGGTTCCAACTCGTGTATTGCGCAAGGTTGGTTATTTTTGTGTTTTTTTTTTTGGTGAAATGCCGAGGGCGAGGGTAGATACGGATCGTATTCGAACTTGAACGCGATCTCGCGAACTTGAACATGTATGTATCGTCGTCGTCGGAGTAACCTAGACGCAATTGACGGTTTCTCGCCTGAATAAATGATCCATTTTTTTTTCAAGTTTTCCAAAAAAAAAACAAAAAAAGAAACAAAGATCCATTTTGATGGACTTGCTAAAAAATAGGTTTTTGTTTCCTTCTGGCACACTTCTCTAAGAAACGTATTGGGCCCTCTTTTCCGTCAGTCTTTCATGAGCACCCCGTCAGTCTTTCATGAGCACTTTAGATTGGGCCAACGATGGCCATGTGCCGCTGCTCTGCTTCATTCAATCGTTATGGTAAATCGATTGCAGCTACGAGTTAAAGACGTAGAAGGGCTCAAAGAAAGGGAGGAGGTGCTCTTTGCTAGATCTGGCATTGCGAATACTTTAGATCGTATAGCATTGTGTTTGTGCTTATTTTGAGAGGTCAAAGAAACTGGTATGCCGCCACTTGGTGCTCGATTTGTCGTTCTTTCCCGAAATTAACACTGCAGAAATGTCCTTGTGGGAGAGAAGTACGTGGGGCTCGATTTGTCGCTCTGTCCGAGTCAACACTGCAGCAAAGTCCGTGTGAGAGAGAAGGGAGGGAAGAGATGAAGGGAGAGAGGGAGAAGGATGAAGTTAATGATGATGATGATGATGAGTAGGTGGTTGCAGCGATACTGCTCGCGTGAGGAGGGTTAGGTAATTTTCCCGCGTTTTCTTCATCCCGTGTTTTTTTCCCCTACTCTTAGCAACGATCCTGTGAGATGGCTGCTGTACAGGTATGGTGGTTTGGTTGCTGACAGGTCAATTAATTACTTGCGGAACGCGTGCGTGCTGTTTTGTGGCAGGTCTGTTGATCACGGCGCGCTTCGTGGAGGCAGCTCTGGCGGCAGCACCGTATACTCGTACACCGGTGATCGAGGACGCTATAGCCGACCTGCCGGTTTAGGCATGGGTATGGTTAATGGAATGCGCCCCTTCAATCAGCTTGACAGGAGTAGCTACGTACCGAATATGGCGAATATCGGCAGGAACTATGACGAGGACGAGCGCAAGCCTGTGGATGCGACTAGCGGTGGGCGGCCACGCAGTGGCCCTGGCGGCGGTTACTCTGAGCGGTACTTATCTGACCGTTATTCTGATCGCTACGAGGAGTTCGAAAGCAGCAGCACCAGGTACGATGACCGCAGGCAGCCCCTGCAGCAGCAACAGCGGTGGGGGGCGTCGTCTTTCAAGCCTGGCGGTCGCGACGAAGCGTACAGTGAAACAACGGAACAGCAGCAGCAGTCGACGTATGGGAACGGTTCCAGAGCCCCTGACGAGAGGGGGGAGATGGGCGGTTCTGGTGGGGACAGAGTACCGCCGCCGTCGGCAGCCGGGGGCGGAGAGCAGGGCGCAGTGCGAGGACCTCCTCCCGCGGTAGCGCCGACTTATGAGAGCGAGTCGTATCGGCGAACGGACGACTATTCGTATGGTGGCAGCAGAGGTGGTGGTCCAGGCGGCGCGTACGCGAAGACCCCAACGCCGGCCGAGCAGCAGCCGCTTTCATCGGGTGGTCAGTATTTGCCGACGAGTGGATATGGTCAACAGGCAGGAGGTTACGGCGGCTCCTCAGGTCGTTACGTCGATGAGAGGCAGTTGAGTGCTGGCTCTTCCTGGCGGGACAGGGAGAGGGAGAGGGAGAGGGAGAGTTTCGTCGGCGAAAGGGAGAGGGAAAGGGAGAGGGAGAGTTTCGTCAGTGAAAGGGAGAGAGAAAGGGAGAGGGAAAGGGAGAGGGAAAGGGAGAGGGAGAGTTTCGTCAGTGAAAGGGAGAGGGAGAGGGAGAGGGAACGGGAGAGGGAGAGGGAGAGGGAAAGGGAGAGGGAGAGGGAGAGGGAAAGGGAGGGTTACGCTAGCGAGAGAGGACGGCAGTCGCCGCCCGAAGTAGGTTACCAACGATCGTCTTCCCCTCCGCAGACTCAGCAACCGCAGCCATGGAGG